TTCCATTTATCTATATTTCTATATCTATATATCTAGTACCCAAATCATATTGATTATAATAGTTTTGTAATAATTTCAAAATTGTAATGAGTCCCCCAACTATTTTCTCATTTTTCAAGATTGTTTTGGTTTTATAGGGTCCCTCGAATTTCCATATGAATTTTAGGATCAACTTGCCAATTTCTGCAAATAATATCAATCTTACACAGACTCTTTCATAAAATAGAGAAGGAGGAAACATTTCCCAACTTATTTTATGATGCTGGTAATTATCTCATACCAATGCCATACAAAGATATGTCAGAGAAAGATAACTAGAGGTCCTATTCCTCATACATATAGATGAAGAATTCTTTTAAAAATTTAGCAAACTGAATCCATCAACATATGAAAAGGATTATATACTACAACTAAGTGGAGTTTATCCCAGAAATGCAAGATTGGTTTAACATTTGAAAAAGTAATGCACCTGTTTCAGTCTAGTAATTTTTTAAACTAAAAGTGAACATTTTATATGATATAGCAACCCTAGATTCTGTTTATTTTTCTTGGGGTTATTGTTGTTGTTCATCATTGCTTGGACTTTAACTCTGGAATCTGTCTCCTCTATGGGGTGCCAGATATGTCTCTACTAAGTATTTTATTCTTCTTTATATTTTTTGGCCTGCCTTTTCTAAGGGTTGCCCCCATGTCTGCATAACTCTATGATCAGCCAATGTTTTAGGCAGTTCTCAAACATCTTGAGTCTATAAGGCTTACAATCTTCTGCTGACGGCTCTGTGTGCAGGTAGGAGACACAATATCATTTGCAGCCGTATCTCAAGTGTCTCTGGGCTTTCACTTTTTGTTGGGCTCTCATGAGATTCTCTCAGGCTGAATGGTTTTCCAGTTGCTCAGGGACATATGGAGAGCTCGTCTTAGTTCTTCTATGGTGCTCTCATTTCTAGAATTTCCTTGTTAAGTTTCTGATTGGCCCATTCCTTGCCTTAATTAGGTCCTCAATCTCAGTCTAGGAAGCTGTAGGCTTTCCTTTGTAAAAGAAACCAGAGCTGGACATTAGTCAAAGCAGGAAAAACAGATTTTATTCAGGAACTATTGCAGTAGGGAACAAGAGACCTCAGTATACAACTGTGCTCAATTTCCAGTATAGCAAGAACAACTGGGGATTTATAGCTAAGGAGGAGGGTTGGGGGAGTTGGTAGATGAATGATTATTAAGAGGAGAGAGACATCAAGGGTAGGGGGAAATTCTTGCTACAATGACCTCACAGAATTCTCGCTTAAGGCAGGCCAGAGCGATATACCCAAGAGATGATGAGGAATGAGGAATTTGATCAGATATTGAGACTGATCAGATACCTGGTGGGGAGGGGATTCTTGCTGAAGTGACTTAGGATTCTTGCTAGGATTGAGCTGTGAGGCCCGAAGACAAAGCCCAGGGATGAGGTCTGGTTGAAAAAAGAGTACAGGGGAGCTGACCTTGGTCAAGGAGAGAGTCTTTGCCACCTTCATTTCATTCCCAGTTGAGTCCACCACTGTTTGCCAACAGTCATAGGGAGTTTTCACCCCTACCCCAACCCCCAGGAGAGTGTCCATTCTGGCCACAAAGCAGCTGCTTTCTGCAGACAGCTCCACCCTGGCCAATCAGCCACTCTTGCCAACAGAGCTGTGGACAAGGGGTACAGAAGCAGCCTCAGGCAACAAGGCCATAGACCCTCACTCAAGGCTCTAGCACTTTTTTCAAGAATGCTTCATTTGTTGTCCACCTTTGTTTGGTTTCTAGTATCCTTGAGATTGTTATCTCGAAAATCTATCCAGTATTATATATATTTTTCCAGACAGGGGCTGCCAACCTCTTCATACAACCATAATTGGAAGTCCCTCCAAAGGCTCTTGGGCAGGGTCTTTTACATATCAAAGCGTTTTGTGAATAACCAAGTAGGCAATACAGAATTCAGTGTTTTTAAACCTCTTTGGTAGTGGAACCCCCTCTTTTTCTCAGGAACATCCCACATAGTATTTATCAAAGTTTAATGTGCAGAAGAAGACTTACATGGGAGGTTGGTAAAATGCAGATTCCTGGGCTCCCACCCCAGAGGCACTGGTTGCATAGATCTAGAGAGTGTACATACGACTTTAAACAGATTGTCTGAAGACCAAACTTTGACCTTTGTTCTATAGAATACAGAAGAGACCTCTCCATAAAGCATTGACTTCTTTTCACTTAGTGTTTAAAAAGACTGATAAGGAAGAGATGGTGCTACATGTTCACCATGTCTGTTTCATATTCTTCCTGATCAGGGCACATAAAACTACATTTACCAGTCTGTGGTAGTTGGGTGAGACCACATGACCAGATCTAGCCAAAGATATGTGGGTAGAAGGAATGAGTAGGTCACTTCCTGGCTGTGGCAGCAGGAACCCATGTGCAATTCTGCAATCTCTTGACTCCCGTTTGGTGGCAAGGGATATGGCTTGTCACATAAAGATGGCAGAGCTACTGCTTTGACGAAAGTCCAGATCCCCAAGTCTCCCATAGACCACAGCTGCCCGTGGAGGATAAAGGGCTTTGACAGAGCAAGAAATAAGCTTTTAAGTGCTAAGCCATTGAGATTTGCAGTTGTTTGTTACCACATCATGAATCTGGCCTATTCTGAGTTAGGGGTGACAGAGAGGGCAACAGTGAAATTACCTTTTGAAGCAGCTCAAAAGATTAAGGAAAGAAAATGTGATTAACAGGAAACCTACAAATCTCAAAAATGAAAGACTGGCATACCTTAGTGTCATCTGATCCAGCTCCTTTCCTGGTGAGGCAATATTCACAATCCACAGGCCTTTCCTGCAGTTGTTAAGGTCTGACCTTTTAAGTAGAAAACAACGCCTTAGGCCTAATCTAAAGGACAGAAGCAGTAAAATGTCAACTACTCAGCCCATCTATCCAGAACATCGAGGTGAAAACGAGAGAGTCTTTCTATTTTAATCTTCATTTAACCAGCATATTTTGTTAATTATAATCCACAACCTAACCTCCCTCCCCCTCCCCAGGCTTCTCTGGTTATTTGAGGTTTTAGCTTATATGCAATGAATTTTAACAATATATAAACACCGAGGAGGGAGAAATTAGATGGTATACTTCATACTAGAAAAGGAATAAACAAAATTAGTAAAATCGCTTTCAGCAGGGATATCCTTGAAGCTCTCTTTATGTTTTAGGAAAAATACCAGCTAAATTAAATATAGCTGGTTGGTTGTGTCTCATGTTTGAAGAGTGAACGGGACTCTCAAAGATGCACGGCTTCCTCAAGCATGCTTCCCACCACCCGCCACCCTCAGCCACATCCGCACTAGTGTGTCCTTCACCCACGGCACCCCCAGCCACCAGGAGAGGAAAATGTGGTGCATGTGTGTTCTATCACAGAATTAATCGGCAGAGAGCATGTCGGTTTTAGACTGGAGGAAATTGAAGTCACACTTGCAGCTCATAGAAAATATTGTGAGCGGTTTGGTGAGGATCACAGATACACTATGAAAGTCAAACCGTCAACCTTTCCTCCCTTTCCCTTTATTAACTTTGACATTTGCATGAAAATTGAATCCTGGTTTCCTGGGGGCTCATCTGCTCCTGCTGTTTCCCCTTACCTGAAGGCTTAATCTTCTGTTGGTGACATGATAATCAGTTCTCCCACAAGCAATTATGATGTCACCAAGAAGCAATTATCACTTCAGGAGAGAAAATAAACAGCCCATGCAGATGATCCCTTGAAATCTTCACGATTTATGTTAATGTGATTTTTCTTTGAAAACATTTCATAGGAGAAAATGACTATACATTTAGATAAAGAACCCATAAGGCAATGGTAAAAGTGGTCGTCTAGGCCCTGAGCTAAATATCAGTACAGGTATCCTAAATCTTTACTTGACACTCCCCCTGTTGGTCCTCAACTTCCTCCTCTTTCTGAGCAAAGTGAACAAACGTTCGTGTTGAAATAATATCATGGATTGGTACCATTAATTAGGAGAAAAAACTTTTCATTGCACAAAAATTAGAGAATGTATATAAGTAAAAAGAAGACAATAAAATAATCTATTATCTACCACCCAGAGAAAACCATAATATTTTGGTTTCAGTCTTTTCTTTCTTCAGTGTGCTGGTGTGTGTGTGGTTTGTTTTACAAGAATTAATCACAAAGTACATACTGTTTTGTAATCTGCCCTTTCATTTGATTATTTGTTTGAACACCTTTGTATTGTAATATTGCATTTTAAATAAAGGAAACTGACAGTCTTAGAATAAGAAGCTCTCTACAAGGGCCATTTCTTTTTCTTTCTTAAAAAATTCATTATTTTTTTATTTTTTATATTTTTCAGCTCTATGGAGGTATAACTGACAAAAATTATACATCTTCAAGGTGTACAACATGCTGATTTGATATATGTATATATTGATTACCACAAACAAGCTAGTTAACAGTTACTTTTATGTATATGTGTATGTGTGTAGTAGAAACACTTGAGATTTACTTTCTTAGCATATGTATTCAATACATTATTGTTAACTATCATCACCATGTTGTGCATTAGCTTGACTACAAATTTATACCCTTTGAGCAATACTTGCCCATTTACCCCACCCTTCTGACCCCTGGTAACCACCCTTCTACTCTCTGCTTCTATGTTTTTACCTTTTTTAGATTCCACGTGTAAGTGAAACTACGCAGTGTTTTCTTTCCCGTGTCTGGCTTGTTTCGCTCAGAGTAATGTCCTCCAGGCTCATCCATCTTGTCACAAATGGTAAGGTCTCTCTTTTTTTAAAAGGCTGAATAATATTCCATTGTATATACATACACATATATATCGTGTCTCTCCCTATATATGTCTGTGTGTCTCACATACGCACATACCACAGTTTCTTTATCCATTCATCCATCGATGGACACTTAAGCTGTTTCCACATCTTGACCATTGTTGATGTCACTGCAATGTACATGGGCACGAGCATGACAGAGGCCATTTTCAGAGTGGCTAAAGGGCAATATTTGATTCTGGCCAGTCAGAGTGTCACATGTACCTGTTGGTCATTTGGCTAATGACTGGGCACTTGGGTCAAGACAAGTGCCCACGAGTGACCACCCATCAGGTAGGACAGATTGAAGTGAATAGAGAGCCCAGAATGATCCACAAGGTGCTGAGACTTAGACCACAGCAGTCCAACAGCAAACTCATGCACCCTGTCCCCGGCATACTGCGCCGTCCTCCGTGAGTGCTCTCTTTTCTAATATGTGATCACAGTGTTTTAATTGTCACCTTAAAAGGTTTCTATAAGTGTTGATTTCCTTTAAAGAATAAAATACCTTAAAGCAGACATCCTCGAACTACAGCCCGCGGGCCACATGCGGGTGTTTTTGTCCATTTGTTTTTTTACTTCAAAATAAGATATGTGCAGTGTGCGTAGAAATTTGTTCATAGTTTTTTTAAAACTATAGTCTGGCCCTCCAATGGTCTGAAGGACAGTGAACTGGCCCCCTGTTTAAAAAGTTTGAGGACCCCTGCCTTAAAGAAAGGAGTCTCTTCTGCAAAACCATCTATAGATTCTCAGGAGCTAGTGCAAAGAAGTAGAGAATCATGCCTACAAGAAATTATCCTGTTGGCTCTTCCAGATCATTTTACCACCTGAGGCTGCCTGACAGCTGGATTCTGGGAGAGGCAGGACTGTGTGATGTGGAAGGAGGGTCGGGGGAGCAGAGCCCACTAGGCATGGTTTCTAAGAGAGCCGGCGGGTAGAGTGAAAGATGTGGGGAGCGAGAGGCCCTGGAGCAGCTGCAGGAGGTGGGAAAACTGCAGAAGAAAGGAAATTTATAAAACTGCTGCTGTGCAGAATAAATTAGGTCTCTTTTAGTAATTTTTGAAGGAAGCAAGGGAAGACTGAAATTACTTTTAATATATCTTTGGTTGCTGGACCCAAAGTGTTTCTTTAAGTTTAATAATACTAAGATAAGACTGGACCACGTGGGATCTTGGTTTACATTTAGGTTTCTCTGAGAGAGAAACAAACAACAAATCTTTGGAATGGGTCAGTGCAGACACATCATGGTTCTCTTATCCCATATTTCATATTTTCTTATTGTTATTTGCTCATAATTCTATTACTTCCACTAGACACTGATCTTCTCCACAGCCAGGCCTTTTTATTGTGAATGAACCCCTCTTCCTCTCCCCGTTGAGCACATATATTAATTAAGATAGTCTAGGTGGCTGTAAAAAAAGACTCCTCAAAATACAGTGTCTTCCAACAGAAGTTTACTTCTCTCTCCCATATTTGTGAGGCGGTAGGCAGTCCAGGATGGCTGGGTGGCTCTGCCACCCTCCAATTACAGCTCTTTCTTCTGTGTCCAAGGCAGCTTCTTCAGCCCTTCTCATCACATACACATCTGAGCCAGCAGAAAGGAGAAAAGGGGCAGGGAAGGGAATACATTTATTTTAAGGGCACAGCCCCAATTTTGTGCACACCCCTGCTGTTCACACCCCGTTTACCAGAACTTAGTCACATGCCCACGTTCAGCTGCAGCGCTGGGTAGTGTAGCCTTTAGCTATGGGACCAAGTGACCAGGCATAACATGTGATCATTATGGAAGAAAGAGAGAGCAAATGTCAGAAGGACTCTATGGGTTTTCCAGAGTCCATTTGATGTCCAACTTCTCTCCAAGGCCATCCCAACTCTCTCCTCGCTGCTCTCTCTGCGCTCTGAGTTCCTGTGCAACTCCACTTCCAGCGTGTGCTCGCTTGCTCTGGGCAGCTTTTCTCTATTTCACATGTAAGGGTTTCATCCCTCACCTTCTAGATTGCCGATTATACCATGGTTTGCTTTGAAGGCCCCTAATGTAATTTACTGGATAATTATCTCGTTTGGTTACCCCCTCACAGTACTTAGCACAACACCCAGCACCACCGGGCACACACAGGTACTTGACTATTGGGCTGTTAGCAGAGTGTCTACAGAGCGTGGGATGCTTTAAAGAAACTGGCTGAATTACAGATGGTCCCTGACCCACAATGGTCTGACTTACGATTTTTCAACTTTATGATGGTGCAAAAGAGATATGCATTCAGTAGGAACTGTACTTTCAGTTTTGAATTTTGATCTTTTCCTGAGCTATCAATATGCAGTAGAGTGCTCATACATGAAATATTCAACACTTTGTTATAAAGTAGGCTTTGCATTAGATGATTTTGCTCCACTGTAGGCTAATACAATGTAAGTGAGGGATTTCTCTTAACCTACCTTATATTTAGATATATGTGCAAAATATATGCAAATAAAAAAGCAAGTAAGAACTCTATAATACTAGTTTTGTATTTTTTCTTTAATAAAAGGAAGAAAGTTATTTCCCAAGTCCTTTTAAAACTTGACATAGTAATTCATTTCAGAGATGTCCCATGAGTTATTTAGCCAATGTAACTTTGATTCAGAAGTATCTCAGCATAATGGAAAAACATTACGTGGGGAGTCAGAAATGCCAGGTTCTGGCAGCTTCCTCTGGGTCGAACTGTGTGACATTGCTGGGGTCGGCCTCTTTCTGACTTGCCAAAGCAGCAATGCATATGGTCCAGCCTCGTAGTTACTAAACATCTGAACTTGGGTGAGCCAGTGACTTTCTCACCTCCTTGAAAACCCCCAACGGGTCCTGCCAGGCCCAGGGGATGATTGTAAGGGTCAAAAGAAACACCAGGCAACAAGTTTTAGGTGAGATATTGTTAGAACCAAGAGGAGGCAGGTCTGCTGGGTGCAATGAGAAGGTATGAGTGTGAATCCTTTTATAACTCCTTGTAGTGCAATTCTAAAAATAAGGCTTAGCTCTATTCCCAAACTGCACCAGGGCTGCAGGCATGTTCTAAATTATAACAGCTAAACAGACAGACTCTTTGGCAGTGCAAATTTGCAATTAAACGACATTTGCATGGGATGAGATTTTAGTTTTTTATGCAGTGCTGTCATAAGAAGATCGTTCAGTTTTATTCTCAGTTGTGCACAGTTTTTTTTTCCCCCTTTAAAGTGGTCCATGCACTTCTCACGTTTGAGAAGCACTGGCCGAAATATTTGCAACAGCCCAGGCAGGGCTCGATTTCAGCAGAAGTTTCTCAGGGCCTCTGTCCAGGGCATAGCTGGGAAATTGCCTTTTGGAACCTCTTCCAGGCCCTCTGGGAAATGGGAACAGCCCCGTCCACTGCAGATTTGGTGCTCAGTGACCCAGGGATCCGAAATAAGCAGAAAGGAAGTCGGAGGCCTTACTTCCCTCCCAAGTGAGGCAGTGTTGTTTGCACTTGGCCGGGTAATTAGGAGCTCCTGGCTAATACTTTTTGGAAGTGAATGAACCATTTCAATTTGGTCATTTGTGGTCCTGAATTACAGCTGGCTGGAAATAAAATCTATGAGAAAAGACTCAGACCACAGGGTGTGGGGCTAAAGGCCTACTGGCCCAGCTCTGGAAGGCTTGCAGCACTTGGTAATGCTTGCAATAAAATGTGAATTAGAAGGAGATGAACGTGCCATGGGGGCTGGAAGACATCCTCAAGCAGATGTGTGTGGAAATTAACAGTGTGGTGATAACAAACTTCGATGCACACGCAGCCACTGTACCAGGGAATCTGCCCCCTGACGACCGTTTGTTTTACAGAGGGAGGAGCCTCCTGTGCACGGAAGGAAAATGTAGGAGGTAAAAGCTTTTGGATTTGGAGCACTTGGTATGTATTAAAAAGCTCCTCCAGTCTGTCTCAGGGATGCAATTTAATTCATGCTGCCAAAAGCTTTGCTTAGCCAGGGTCAATATTCATTAAAAAAGAAAAGTCTATGTATTTTTCTTTCTCTTCCTTTTTATTCTTTCCCCCCTTTTCCTGTCGGCTGCTTCTCCAGGAAAAGAGCCAGGGTAATGAACGTGGAGCAGAAATATCCACGCTCAACCAGGACAAACTACAGATGGATGCGTTTCCCGGCGTTGTCTCCCGGCCACCACTCTCTGGGTCCAGACACTCTGAGCAGGGCCCTGGCAGGCACGTTTTTTGGAGGCTGCTCAACAACGGAAAAGAAGCTTGGAGGCTTAAGCCTGGATGCTCAGGCAGGCTGGTGATTGGCTTTTCAAAAGCCTTATTTATATTAAAGGACAAGAAAATAAAATGAGAAAGACATCATGTTGACGACTGTGACAAGGTTCTAATATTTAAAAGTGACACCAAAATACAGATTCTGTAAAGTAGAGAGCAGATTTCATGGTGGAAAATACAGTGCAGTGAGGTTGAAAGAACTGCAGGATTTGGCATTTGAAGACCTCGGCTCAGTTCCTAGCTGGGCCACTTTTTAAGCCAAAGGAGCTTTGTAAGTCACCATGCACGATCTTTAAGCACCTCTAGGCTCACCTTGTATTTTTCCTGCTCCAGCCCCAAATCAGCCATCTTACTAAGGAATCGTTGTACCTTTTGATGAAGAATGGTGCTTGGAAACCAGGGTCTGGGTAGTAGGTGTGCTCATTGTCAAATGGCCTCACTGTTTCTCCATTTCAGTGGAGACAGAGAGGGAATGTATTTTAAAAATCATGGATTCATACTAATACCTTAAATTCAAACACACATACTGATACCTTAAATTCAAATGCAAACACTGCAGAGTTCTTCCTCCACGTCCCTCATACCATGTTTGTATTTCCCCTCTCTCCTTCTCATTTGCTCCATTCTATGACATATTCAAAATATTTCAGAATCATTATACCACTACCAACACCACTACCAACAATAAAGTCCTAGGATCAAGATGTTTCTGCAGGGCCGGGTGCGGTGGCTCACGCCTGTAATCCTAGCTCTCTGGGAGGCCGAGGCGGGCGGATTGCTCGAGGTCAGGAGTTCAAAACCAGCCTGAGCAAGAGCGAGACCCTGTCTCTACTATAAATAGAAAGAAATTAATTGGACAACTAATATATATAGAAAATATTAGCCGGGCATGGTGGTGCGTGCCTGTAGTCCTAGCTACTCGGGAGGCTGAGGCAGAAGGATTGCTTGAGCCCAGGAGTGTGAGGTTGCTGTGAGCTAGGCTGATGCCACGGCACTCACTCTAGCCTGGACAACAAAGCGAGACTCTGTCTCAAAAAAAAAAAAAAAAAAAAAAAAAGATTTCTCTGCAAGTCTTTTTTCCCTTAGAATAAGTCCCACTAAGTGTGTGAGCTTGGAGTTCTGTGTTTAGGTTACTTAATTCCTTTTTGTGTGTGTACTTGTGTTATCAAATGGACAGAGAGTATAATCATTTATTTGCTTTTATCCAATTTTAGAGTGCTTTTAAAAAACATTTTGATTTAATTTTATTTTTGAATATATAAAACACATAAATTAAAAGTCAAAGCTACATAAAAGAAAGGTAATAGCCATTCCCATTCCTTATCCCTTATGCCCCAACCCTATGTAACTCCAAGTTTCACTGGTTTATGATTTAATTTTCTTGTGATTCTTTTTGAAAAATAAAAAACAATAACATACATAACTATTTGCTTATTTCCCTTTCTTTTATAACACAAACTATAGCATATTACTTACACTTCCTATTTTGATATTTTCACTTAATATATTTAAAAATCACTTCCTATTAGTTCATAGAGTTCCTTGGCATTTATTGTTTACAAATGCACAAGATTCCTTTAGGTGAATGGACCCTAGCTTATTCAATCAGTCTTTTAATGGAGGACATTCAGGTCATTATCAATATTTTGCTCTTATAAATAATTGCACACTAAATAATCAGGTAAAACTATTGCTTTGTATTGGTAGAGATATATTTCCTAGAAGCGGGGTTGCTGGGTCAAAGGGTAAATGTGTATATAATTGTATTAGACATTGCCAAATTCTCCCCTACGATTGTACCATTTTATCCTCTCTCTAGAATATACCAGAGTGTTGTTTCCTCACTGCCTTCCTAACAGAGTGTGCTGAGTTTCCCAATGCTTGTCAGTCCGTCAAGTGAAAACTGGTAACTCAGGGTGAATTAGGTTGCATATCTGTTATTATGACGAAGTTGATCATCTTTTGTTGTTTAAGCGACATTGGCATGTTGTTTTCTGGAAACTGTTCATGTCTTTGCTAATATTTCCATTGGATATTTGGCCTTTTTTACTTCTCTGTTCCTAAGAACTCAATTTATTATGGAGATTAGTCCTTTATCTGTGACGAATGTTGCAAATATTTTCTCTCCATTTATCATTTGTTGTTTGACTTCGCTTATGGTATTTTTTTTTTAATGTGTCAAGCTTATCACCAGTTTGTAAAGGAATTCATCTATCTTTCACCTTTTAAAATATTTAGATCTTTAATCAATTTGTAATGTATTGTGTTGTAAGGTATGAACTACGGATTCTTTTTTCCAAAATACCATCTAGTTATCCTAACAGCATGTATTAAAAAGGTCTGTCTTTTCCTCAGTGATTTTGGATGCCACGTTGATCATATAGTGAATTTCCTAGAGTACTTCCGTCTTTGAATGGACTTTCTGTTCTGTTCCATTGGTCTATATCCATTTCTGTGCCATGTTGTTTTAATTATAGAGGCTTTAGGTTGTGTTTAGATATCTGACAGGGCTAGTCCCCCGAAGGGAAGCTTTTGATTGCTATGGCAGGTAAGGGGATTCCACTGGCCTTTGGGAGGTAGGGGCCGCCTTGTACAACTTTCAAACAGCCATTGGCTATCATGTAGGTGAAAACCTGTTTCTGATTATCTAAATCTAGAGCCTAACATTGATTCACATAGAAACATGAGGTATTTTTTGCATGGCTTCAATGTACATTCTATATTTCAGACATTAAAAAAAATTACCAAGCATGATCTGGATTTCAGGAACATTATGTTACTGCTGGTGATGTCGTGTAAGGCTTTTGAGTCATCAAGACAACACACCCAAGTCTCTTTGCACTGGTGGCTGCCATCTGCAGAGGAGTCTTTGTTTAGGTACAGGGATGTAAGTAACTACCTCATTATGTCTTTCAGTTAGTTAATGCACAAACACTACGAAAAACCATGTTTTTTAAGAAAGTTATAAATTAATTTCCTTTTATATCTCCTTTTTACTATAGTTAGTGAATTAGGTTGATATTTTAAAATTACATATGTAAATGGATATGATCTATGAATTTTGTCTCAGGATATGTTGTAAATTATTTGTCGTATGGAAAGAGGGTCTGGAGTCCGATAGAGCTGGCAATTAAGCCTAGACGGCCTCCATCCCTGTCTGTCCATCTCCCCAATGCACATCATGGCCATAGTGGGCCTCGTGGGAGAGTTGGGGCGCATCTCTGCAAACCCAGTGGGGGTGCTGAAAAAACACACTCACGCACACACTCACGCTCATCTGATAGTGACACGATGGTTTACTTTTTGGCACTGAGAACAATATATTTTTCAGACAGTCGTGGATGACTTAAGAAATGAGTGCAAAGTTCATAACCCCATTCCAGCTTTCACTGTTTTTAGTTTGGTGGGTATCTTCCCAGACTTCTAATATTTTCTATGCCTTTACGTGTGTGTGTGTGTGTGTGTGTGTGTGTGTGTGTGTGTGTGTGTGTGTAAGAGATAGAGAGAGGGCTTTCTAGAATATAGTTCAAATGATGCTTATTGAGCCCCTATTTTGCACAGGAAATGTGAGCAGAGCATTGCCTCTGCCCTCAAGAGGCTTGTTTGGGGGACAAAACATAAATACTGCATGGAAAGCAATGGATCGGGAGAAAGTACACACCAAATGCAGTGGTGAATAGAAGGGAGAGAGCTGGCCCAGCCGTGCGGGGGTGGCATTTTAGACAAATGTTGAAGGGGTTAAATGGTACCCCCCTCCTTCTGCAAAAGTTATATCCACATCTGAATTCCTAGAACCTGTGAATGTGACCTTATTTGGAAAAAGGGTCATACAGATGTAATTAAGATGAAGAAATCATCCTGGGTTATCCAGATGGGCCCTAAATCCAGTGACAAGAATCCTTATAAGAGACAAAGAGAAGATACACAGAGGAGGTGGCCATGTGAGGACAGGCAGGGACTGCAGTGATGTGGCCCCAAGCCAAGTACACCGAGCAGCACTGGCAGCCACCAGAAGCTGGAAGAGGCAACGAACGCTTTCCCCAGAGGCTCCAGAAGAACCGCCCTGTACACACCTTGATTTTGAACTTCTGGTTTAAAACTAAAGTTCTGTTGTTTTAAGCCACCAGGTTCGGGGTACTTTTGACAGCAGCTATGGGAAACTAATAGAGGCAAGTTGTTTTCTGCTTGTTTCTTTTTACTTCTTAAAATTCTAAAACATAACTTATAAAGAAAAGTGGATGGAATGTGAGTGTGCAGTTTAGTAAATAATTGTAAAGTGAACATGTAGCCCCATGAAAACCAAACATAGAAAGTTGCCACTTCCCAAAGCCCGACAATACCACTCATCTCTCCTTTACGACTCTCCTCAACTCCCTCTGAGTTTGGGGACAATAATTCCCCTGCCATTAGCTAGCGGTTTGTCACCTATGTGTGCATTTCCAGGCGATATAATTTTGCTTTCACCTTCTTTTGAATCCTTAAAGGAACTGCACAGCCTGTCCTACCTTGTCCTCCTCACTCAATGCTGAGTTTCTGAGATTCATCATGCTGTTCTGTGTGGCCATAGTTCTTCCTTTTTATAGTGCCATGACACAACCATGTACAGATATGCCGTAATTCTCGATCCAGTCTTCTTTTGCTGGATATTTGGGTGGATTTTGGTTTGGGACAATGACATTCTTACCTATGTACTCTGGTGCGTATGTACTTGAGTTTCTCTAAGGTGCAAACCCAAGAGTAGAGTTTCCATATTTGCCGACGCACAACTGCACTGGAGAATGCCACGTTGTTTTCCAGCGCGGGAGTGCCCATCCATACTCCCTTTGATCCACGTCTTCATCAATCCTTGGTATCGTCACACCTGAAAGTTGGTGCTAGTCTGGTAAGGGTGTAGTGGTATCTCATGGTTGATGTGGCCATTTCCTTGATTCGTGATGAGTTTGAGTAGTTTTTCATGTTCATTGGATGTTTGGACATTCTCTTCAGTTACCCATTTTTATCAGGTTGTCTGCATTTTCCTTATTCATGGTTGGGTTCTTTATGTATTCTGAATAGGATCCTGTCATAGGTTGTGCTCCCTGGGAAGCAGACTCTCAGATGGAAACTTGCACGCTGGAGA